CTCACCCCCACCTTCCCTCTGGGATTCATTAGATTGTTCCATGTTTCTATGTCTCTGGATCTATTTTGTTTATCAGTTTATTTTGTTCTTTAGGTTTGTTGTGTTTTAACTCTTAACAGTACCTTAGGTATCAGTACAGTTTGATAGTGCCACTTTATATGCCAGAGTCATTTAAAAGCCTAGACTCTAGGCCCTAGAGCAGGGGTCCTCAAACTTTTTAAACAAGGGGCCAGTTCACTGTCCCTCAGACCGTTGGAGGGCCTGACTATAGTTTAAAAAAACACTAGTCGGCTGCTAAGCAACAGGCAGCAGCGGCAAAAACACCGGCGGACCGGATAAATGTTTTTGGCGGGCCGCATGTGGCCCGCGGGCCGTAGTTTGAGGACCCTGCCCTAGAGTATCAGTATTCTTTTATTTATTTATTTTTTCACATTTCTAGATTTGTGAGAAAATGTGTCACATGTATACCAGGGAAGCTGCAAGAACAACTGCTTTGCTTGCACTCTTGTGGAGAAATTCAGTATTATCTGTTCTAATTTCAACTCAGCCAGCATATATTGAACATCTATTATGTGTCAGGCATGGTGTTAGGTTTAGGGGTGTGAAGATGTGGTACCGGTTGTCATGGAGCTTCCCATCTAGAATGGGAGGTGATGGAGAGCCAAATCACAATGCAAAGGCGGTCATTTGTTTGTTTGTTTTTCTGGAAAGTCTTTTTTCCCCCCATTACAAAGCATAGCATGACTTCTTTTTTTTTTTCTGCAGAAAAATCACACAATATAAACAATGACATTGATTGAGGAGAGACAAGGCAATACAATACTCAGGTAGACAAATAGAACCAGACGGTTCAAGAGAAGAGTAAGGGCTCTGTTATGGGTTGAATTGTGATACCCTCAAATGAATATGTTGAGACTCTAATCCCCAGTACCTCAGAATGTGACCTTACTTGGAAATAGAGTCCTTGCGGATGTAATTAGTTAAGATGAGGTCATACTGGAATAAGATGGGCACCTAATCCAATTTGACTGGTGTCCTTATAAAAAGAGATTTGGACATAAAGCCACTCACCCAGAGAGAGAACAAGATGTGAAGATGAAAGCAAAGGTCAGGGTGACACATCTATAAGCCAAGGAACACCAAGGATTTCTGGGAAACCACCAGAAGTTAGAAGAGAGCCATGGAACAGATCCTTCCTCACAGCCCGGGGAAGAAACCAACCCTGCCGACACCTGGATCTCAGACTTCCAGCCTCCAGAATGTGAGACAACAAATTCTGTTGTTCAAGCTTGTCGTACTTTCTTATAGCGGCCTTAGCAAATGAATACAGGCTAAAAGGAAATCAAACAGGGTGATGAAGGGGTGAAGGAGTCTCTGGGGTTATGACATTGGCTCCTGAGTGATGAAAAGGAGCCAGTCATGCCAGGTGTCACTCTTCTCGCAGGGGGGTCCACAGGGAAGAGCCAGAGTGGCTGTTCTGGAACTGAGACTTGGACAGGGTGACGGGGAGGATCTAAGTGCTATGTAGAGCTTTACGTGTGTTGACTAATTTAATCCTCACAACAAATCTGCCTTATAGATGAGGCAGTGGAGGCAGGGAGAGGTCCAGTAACTTCTCGGAAGTCACCCAGCCCATAAAGGCAGAGCAAGCACTTGGCTCTGGGGTGTCCACTTGTAGAGCTCCTGTCCTCACTCTTGGCTCTCCTGCCTGAGGTGTGCAGGGTCAGACTGTTGAGTGTCTCACAAACCAAGATGAGGGGCTTGAATTTACTCTAGATTCAGTGCAAAGCCATTGGAGGGTTTTATTCAGGCAAGTGACATGATGTGATGTATATTCTTTATTCTTTGTTTGTCATTCCTCACCCAAGGATATTTTTTTCCATTGATTTAGAGAGTGGAAGGAAAGGATGGGGCGGGGGGTAGGAAGGGAGTTGGTTGGTTGCCTCCCACAGAAGCTGGGAATTGAACCTGAAACCCTCTGGTTCGCAGGTTGACGCTCTAACTACTGAGCAAACTGTCCAAGACAGTATGATTTATATTCTTAAAAGCTCATTGTAGCTGCTGTGCGAAGTTAACTGAGGAATCATGCGTGATGGTAAGTTAGTCCCAGGACGATGTACAAAGGTGAGTGAGGTGTGCACCTCCTGCGGATTGTCATTCCTCATCCAAGAATATTTTTTTCCATTGATTTAGAGAGTGGAAGGAAAGGATGGGGGATGGGAAGAGAGTTGGTTGGTTGCCTCCCACAGAAGCTGGGAATCGAACCCGAAACCCTTTGGTTCGCAGGTCAATGCTCTAACTACTGAACAAACTGTCCAAGACAATATGATTTATATTCTTAAAAGCTCATTGTAGCTGCTCATTGTAGCTGCTGTGAGAAGTTAACTGAGGAATCATGCGTGATGGGAAGTTAGTCCCAGGACGGATGTACAAAGGTGAGTGAGGTGTGCACCTCCTGCGGAGGGAGGCCGTGGTTCTCCATCCTGGCTGCACAGTGGAATTACCCAGGGATCTTCCACAAACACTGGTGCCTGCCCCAACCTCAGAAACCCCAACTTAACTGATCTAGATATAGGGACTTGTTAAAGCCCCCCAGGTGATTCTAGCAAGGCAGAGTTTGGGTCTACTACTGCCCTCCACCAGTTGTGACTGAAGTGCTGGGTGTGGAAAACCAGATATTGCCTGT